ACATACAGCAACTAGAAGGATGTGCAGCTACAACACACAACTATCCACTGGGGCTTTGGGGGAAAAAATAAAATAAATAAAATCTTTAAAAAATAAAATAAAATAAAATGGTTAATTTTATGTTATGTGAATTTCACTTCCATAAAAATAGAGAGAGAGAAAGGTGGAAAGAAATTGAAGGCAGTGAATTTAGACGAAGTTTAAAGAGTTTTGCTGTAGGTGGGAGTGAAGAAATGGAACTGTGGCTGGTGGGAGAAGTGGAGTCAACAGATTTTGTTTTCTTTTGTTTTAAGATGGGAGAAAATTTTTTTTTTAAAGTGTGTTTCTTTGCTGATGAGAACTATTGATCAGACAGCTGATGACATAGAAGAGAGAGGTAAGAACTGCTGGAAAAATATCCTTGCATAAATGAAAGGGATGGCTTTACCTCCTACAGAGATTTACCCTTAAGAATATTTGCAAGATGGGGGCTGGCCTGGTGGCACGGTGGTTAAGTTTGTGTGCTCTGCTTTGGCAGCCCGGGGTTCAGGAGTTCAGATCCCCGGGGTGGACCTACACACCGCACATCAAGCACTGCTGTGGAGGTGCCCCACATACAAAATAGAGGAGGATTGGCACAGATGTTAGCTCAGAGCCAACCTTCCTCACCAAAAAAAAAAAAAAAGGGAATATCTGCAAGGACATCCCCTACAGTGAGGCAGCCTTGAGCAGATAAAAGGATTAATTGAACTCAACCTACACTGTACAGTAAACACAAAGAGAAAAATACCATAAAGTTTATAAAATGTGTGAACATGGCAGTGTTGTTCTGGAATTACCCATTCCTCCTGCCCAGGGCACTGTCAAACCCTGGGGCTGACGTGGGCCAGGAAGTACCCTCTTCAAGTACCCTCTTCAAGATTCCCCCTGGCTTCAATTTCTCAGATGTTCTTTCCCTGTCTATTTCCTGTATCTAACACATACCTCTTGACTATAGAAATTAATTTTTAAAATTCTCTGTTTACAGTTTCATGAGGATTTGCTGGGTTACTGCCTTTACATGGCGGGTTTTACCTGTAGATTCCTGAAGAGCTTGTCCTGAGCAGATACCACACTTTGTCACTCTCTAGGGATAGTTTTGGGCACACTGTCTCCTCAGGATCCAAATGGACGCTTGGTTACTGCCTTCTTACGTGTTAGAGGTTTTGGAATTCGATCAGAGCCTAATGTTTTAAGCTACTTACTGTCATGATGCCCATTTGAAACCAAAGTACTATCAGTTTTCTTCTCCATCATATAGGTCTACTACATAGCAGTAGAACTAGCACACTAAGTATCTTTTAACTGGGGGAGGAGAAAATCTTTATTCAGAGAAAAAGCTAAAACCAGAATACATACTTTAATAATATAGTATATGTTCAGAATTCAATCTTTTTTATTGTACAAAAGCTATTTCAAGAAAATACCTTATGTTCCTAATTTTAACAAAGTTAAGGATAGTGACTCAATCCTAATAAGAATCTGGATATCATTTTATTCTACTTAATTTTGTCATTAACATTTTACTTGGGATATGAAAAAAATTTTCCCAGTCTTTACATGGCTCACAAGAAAACTCCATGGGTACAGAGATTAGTTTTGATTTCACACTGAAGATCCTATATGAGATTTAATCATAAAACTAACCAGAAAACTAATTAAGAACTATTAGACCCACATAAAAGACAACTGAAAATAACTCTCATTTTCTATTGTGACTAAAGTCTAGGGTTCCCTATCCATTGATTAGTTTTTTTGATTTGATTAGTGAAGCAAAACTAAATGCAAAAATTGAATGTTAGCACAATATTCTAAGAGCATATTGTTTGTAGGACATGCACAACTGTGAGTCAACAGTCTAGTGATTTGGGATCATCCACATTTAATAGTAAATATTAAGATTAAAAGATGGTATGTTCTATTTAGCCATAGGCTGAATAACTCCACTTCATTCATCTTTGTCCTCATATGACACACAAAAGAATCTAAGTTTATTCCAAAGTAACAAAGCCAAAGTCCTACCTCATGAGGCAAGAGCTAAGGTACACCAGCCAAGTCATGGAGCTTACGTCAGTCCAAACAAGCAGGTGTCCCTGGAAGGGCACAAAAGGAGCATCCTTACGAATGTTTAGTGTTCATAAAATTGGCTCTGAAACATTTCCTTTTAACTTCATCATCTGTTATGAACTAAATGTCTGTCTCCCCCAAATTCATATGTTGACATCTAACCCCCAGTGTGATGGTATTATGAGATGGGGCTTTTGAGAGATAATTGGGTCATAAGGGTGGAGCCCTCATGAATGGGATTAGTGCCCTTGTAGGAAGAGGTCAGAGAGCTAACTCTCTTTCACCACCATGTGGGGACACAGCAAAAAGGCAGGAAGAGGCTCACACCAGACACTGAATCAGCTAGCACCTTGATCTTGAACTTCCAGCCTCCAGAACTGTGAGAAATGCATTTCTGTGGTTGATGAGCCACCCAGTCTGTGGTATTTTGTTATAGCAGCCTGAACTAAGAGATCTTCCCTCACTTGTTTTTGAATTCTCATTTTTTTACCTTAGTTTATCTTCTGTTCTCATGTCTACATAACTAAAACAGCTTGATAGACTAATTTTCTACCTTTCCAGGTCTTGACTTTTGATTTGTTTTAGTTGGAATACAAGTCTAACCACCATAACAATGGCCAAAATAGCAGTGGTTTCCACAAGATAGGATTGTATGTCTACCTCACCCAACAGCGTGAGTGCAAATAGACCGGGCTGATATTGCCTCTGTGGTGCTGGGGAGCTGGATTCCTTGTTGTTGTTCTGCTCTCTTCAACACACGGCTTCCAGCTTGTGCTCTGTGACGGTGCTCCTTGCTTCTGCTCGCTTTCCAGTCAGTGGGAGGGGAAAAGAAAGTGGAAAACGTCTCCCTCTGCCTTTAGACACACAACTCAGAAGTTGCATGCACCACTTCAACTCACATTTCATTGGCCAGAATTTAGTTCATGGCCACCTATGGCTGCAAGGGAGCTAGGAAATGTAGTCTGCCTGGGTAGCCATGGGTCCAGCAGGTTAAACGGGGCCAAAGGAAGAAAGAATGGACAATGGGAGACACCAGCACTCTCAATCACAGATTCCATTTCCCCAGCTCTGGGGATTTCCTCCACCTGTGTACTGCCCTCACCTGGAACAGGTATAACCAGGCCCAACAGATACTGTCTAGACACAGAATTTAGTGGTGGATCACTGATGGGAGGGCACGGTCTGTCATGCAGAATATCCTAACACATGCTCAGACATTTCAATCTTGGTCATTTAGATGTTGCTTTAGGATAAATGTGCGATAGCTTTGCTGATGGGAATGCAGCCAAGCAAACATCTTTTGGCAAGCTTGCTTTGCCAGAGAATTACATCATGAGTTCTTTGGGGCCAAGAGAACAGAGAAAGGAGTCAGGACCTCAGAAAGTGGTCTTGGTGGGGCTTGTTTGGGTCACTGAACGGAAATGTACAAACAGTTGTCCAGGAACTGACTGCTTGAGGGGCTTTCCACCACTTAGACTGCACTTAGAGCCGGAGAACAGCTGCCAAGTTAATTTTTGGTTGAGTGGGAACATCTGGTGTTTATGAAAGGTTAAGAAGCCCTTTTATGAGGGCTATGAGATCATCTAATTCCAAAAGTGCATGGCTTTGCCTAGTAGTAAATCGTGAACAGTTTCAGAAAATGTAGGAATGACAAGCCATGGACCTTTCAATAAAATCAAATGTAGCTCTCATATAAACTTTGATTCCCAGGCCATAATCACCAGGTTATAATCAAAACTTAAAATTGACTCTCTAGGGTCTTTCTTGGGAACGACAGTGTGGCCAATATTTTCCTTCTTAGGGATGCCTTGACGAATTTTGAGGAAGGAGGATGTCTGGAAATAGGCCCCAAAGCTTTTTTCATAGGACTGTCCATAAGGCTCAGCGTCCTTACATGAGAATGGGGCTCCAGAGCACGCCATACACACGCAGAATTCCTCCAAGCAGCGAGGTGACTAGATTCCAAACCAACCCTCCCACACACGAAGACTGATGGTCTTTCTCTTCAGGAGTTACTAGTAACCGTCATCAACTGTCTCACCCCAGTCTAAACCCTAAAGGTTTTTTAAAGCAACCACCTAATAAATAATTTTAATTTTTAGTAATTCAATTTAAAATAGTCCAAAAATGTGTGTATGTAGTAAGAGTGACTCTGCTTTTTAAAAACAATAGGTCCAGCAGCTGGGATAAAACTAAAACAGAAAATTCACTGAGCATTAATAATGACAGAAGGAGTCAACTTGAAAGAAGAGAGCACATTTAAGAAAATTTTGATGAAATGCAATTAATCTTACTAAGTAATTTCAGTTTGGGATTAGCTGGAAGTATGCAATTTGGGATAGAAAAAGTTTGATCCATTTGAAAAAAAAAAAGATGGGCACTAAAAGGTGAAGATAAACATGTGGTCTCAAGACAGAGACAGCAGCTATAATTAAGAACATCTAAAGATTTAAAACAATGACATCAAAAGGAGGCCTAATGAAAATAGATTGCTTGCTTTTGTTGTTAACCTGTGTAATAAGCCTGTCTGTTCCCTGCATAGTCCTTTTTCCTAGCAAACAACTTGGGAAATGAGCTAGCTAGGCAGAAAAATAATCCTTTTAAAATATAAATTATTTTAATAAATAAAGAATAACTCAAGCTACAAAGAGTTTGGAAAAGAAGAAAAATAATCACTCATAATATCACTACCATAGCATATTTACTGTTCCATTTCTGGTGTTTTTCTTTCTATCTTTAAAATTTATGCATCTTTTGTTTCATTCATTCACACAGCAGTGAACAATATAGACTAAAAACATCCCTGCCCTCATGGAGCTTATATTAGTAGGCAAAGACAGCAAATAAGTGAGTAAATTATGTGGTGTGTTTGAAGGTGGTAAGTGCAGTGGAGAAAATGAAGCACAGTAACGGGGATGGGTCCAGCAGGTGCTGTCCTTTTTAACAGAATGGTCAGAGTGCGGCTCCTCGAGAAGGCGGCTTCTGGGGAAGCAGGAGAGCAGCTGGGGAGTGAGCTAGGAGGATCTCCGGGGATCAGGGGGCCAGGCGGAGGAGCCGGAGACTGCCCAAGCCCTGCAGGGAAGCCGGCCTGGCAAGTCTGAGGAGCGCAACGCCGCCTGGGCTGGCTGGGGTCTGCTCTGGTCCTCCCGCCGGCCGTCAGCCGGGCAGGTGGCCTCGGGGACCCCGAGGCCCATCTGCCCTTGTATCACGTCACTCACTGGAACCTCTCCAGTGCTCCATGTTTTGCCTTTTTTTCATTTAGGCCCCAACAGTTTTTGTTAAGACTGTGAACCCAGGCATACTGTCTAGTTAGTTACTACTATGAACGGAAACTTTTTCTTAATTGCAATTTTTTAAAAAATGGTCATTGCTGATATATATGAACACTATTAATTTTAGTATATCTACTATATTACGATTTCTCAGTTGATTCTTTGGCCACTTCTAGGCTTAAAATTATGCCACCTACAAGGTGTAATAATTTTACCTTTTCCTTTTCTATACTTATGCAACTAATTTTTGTTTCATGCCCTCTTGTAATTGTCAAAAACTACCTAAAATATTAAATAATAATCAGAATATTGGGCTCCTTTATTTTATTCTGGATTTTTATGAGACTGTTTTTAGTAGTTACCCGTAAGTACAATGTTCACTTCTGATTTAAACTACATTCTCCATCACTGTGAGAACGCATCCTTACACTCCCATTTCCATGCATGATTTTATTAGGACGAGGGGCTGATGATCAAATTCCTTGATTATTATTTTTAAGAGTTCAATCCCCTGATGTGATGTACCAGTATTTAAGCATCTTCTAAAGCTGAACTATCCTCACATTTTCGGGATGACCTTGGTCATGAGTGAGGTATGGTACGGTGCTGGATTACAGTCACGGGTACTATTACACGTAAGACCTTCACGTCTGTGTTGACGCTGCAGTTTCCTTCTGGACGCAGGAAATTGAGCAGCGTATTAAACAAGAAGGATATTTACAGGACTCCACACTAGTCGACGTCAGACAGAAACAGCACAGGTGAAGGACACATTGCGGTGTTGCGGCAGGAAGCAGGTGACTCGAGCGGCCCCGGAGGCCGGCCCGGGGCGACGGCAGGTCTCAGGCGCCCCGCCCCGCCTGGCTCTGCGGGCGCCGAGCCCGCGACGACGGAAGCGCCAGTTCCGAGTCGAGAGCGCCCCCGCTCCCCGCGGCCCTGGACGCTGAACGCCGGAGCTGCGCTCGGAGCGCACGGGGAACTCACGTCACCTGTGCGGGGCCGCGTCCCCTGAGCCCGTGCAGATAGACGCTGGCTGCGAGTTACATTCTTCCAGCAACTATTCTAGAATGTCTCCAAATTGCTTGTAAAATGCTGCCCTGGGGAGAGGGGACGGGAAGCTTTCTCCGAGGAAGTCCCTCCAGGGAGACAGACGCTTAATTTGTTCTGTGGTCATTGAATACAGTAGGTTAAAAAGTTGTTTGCTTAAAAAAAAAATTCCCGCAAATTGGAATTCCGCAGTGGCTCCTGCAGTTATACTAAGGACTATATAAAATAGTCCTTACTAAAATCTTTGGAGTGCCACCTTCTCAGCCTGTGTAAGTTCGCTTCCCCGGCACATCACTATGTCTCTGTCATGCTTTGTGTAACAATATTAATACCAGAGAACATTACTGAACACATACAACATTCCAAGAACATTATCTTGTTTAATTTTCATTTCAACCTATGATTCCTATCATCTCAAACAATTGATAAATGACGACTCAGAAACTCAGATGCCAATTACATTTCCCTTGGTTATGTGGCTAGTCAGTGGGAACACTTGCGTAAAAAAACAGTTGCTTGCTGAGAGAGAGGTTATATAGATGGTGAGAGGGTAAATGGGATTAATCCAATCCAATGAATGTTTACTGAACATCTGACATGAACTAGACTCAGTGATAAAGTCTAGACTGAGTTAATGAAGTGGGCAAGAACCTTTAAGGTCTCCGCTTGCCTTTGTGCCCTTTTCCTACCAATCTCTTTTCTTTTTCCACTACTGCAGCCTCCTTATGACTCTATATTTTAAAATTAATTTTAAAATTATTTTGTGATTGAGAGGAATAGTAGTAATAATGACTACACAGCAACAGAAATAATCCGTAATATTTATTGAACCCATGCTTTGTGCCAGCCACTGTTCTAAACGCATTAACTCATTTACCCAACAGCCCAGTGAGGTCAGTGCTATGGTGATGGCACAACATTAAGTCACTTGCTCAGGTTCACACAGATGGAAGTATCAGAGCCACGCTTTGAACTTGATCTCGGTTTTTCTAGGGAATGGTCCATGAGCCAGGCCCCCAGCAATCAGTGTGCTGTGAGCACCTGCTGGTGTGTTTTCAGAAGGAATGCAGAGCAACGGTTAATGCAGCCAGGCAATAAAGGAGCTGTTTTTACTTCCGGGCTCTATGTTTAGGAAGTAACACAAAGAAATTTTGCTGAAATCAGAGAAAAAAACTAACAGCCAAAGTTATAAAGTAATGAAAAATTAGGTTCTTGAAAAAAATACGATTAGGAGTTTGAATTATTTGATGCATGGAAAAGCTGTCAGAGGGATGAAATCTGAGTGTTCTCAAGTATAGCAAGAACTATAGGAAAGGGTTTTGACTAGTGATGAGCCGTTTCTACAGAAGGCATTTAAAAGGAATAGACATCTTAGGATATAAGGTAATACTTGACTGCTGGTTAAGAGAGAACCATTGGAAAATCTGTAAAGGGACATAGGGAAATTTGTGAGATTTAGAGAAGAGGGCATGAATTCCAGATGGTCACAGTGTCATTCTGTCAAAGGTTTGGACAGAGGAGTAGTTTTCATAGTGTTCTCTGTGCGGCTCTAGCAGTTAATTTATTCCCTGAGTCTTTTTTGAGTATCTACCATTTGCCAGTTTCTGTGTGAGCTGCCTGGTTACAATAGCAAAGGGAAATGATGTGGACTCAGCCTTCATGGAATTTACGGTCTGAAGGGGCAGACAGATAAAAGAGTCAAATCACCACCTAATAAATAGAAAACTGCTTGACTAGATATCTTGATGGTGTCCTTCTCCTTCCCATGCCCCCCTGTCCTCCTCCCATTTGCTCTGCCAAGCCTGGAGCCCAGCCCGGCTCGTGGCCTCAGGGGAGGTAGGGTGGGGCAGAAAACCTAGCTGGTTCCAAGGCTGGCTGCTTTTGTAAAACAAAACACAAACCCTCAAGGGATGAAGATTCCGAGGGTAGAGGAAGTAGTAGAGCAGATAGTCCTGAAACTATAAAGTGATGTCCTTAGGCTTGAGGGGAGGAAGGAGAAAGAGAGAGACAGTGAGATCCCTGGTTCCTGGAGAGAACCCTGCTAGAGGTAGCAGACCCCTAACGTGTGTGGGGTCCCAGAGCAGAGAGGATCTATGATCCCTGCCCCACTGTGTGGCCCCACTGAGGGTGGTGAGACCGCAGCGGGGGAAATATCTTCAGGCAGAACAGCTCCGCTTTTCATAGGGGCAGGCATTGTTATTAGACTCTCTACAGAGAGGAAAATTAAGGCACAGAGATGTTGATACTGGCTTAACGCAAGGTTGACATAAGGGAAGCCATATTGTAGAAAAGAAATCATATTGTAACTTGGTGGGGTTTTTTTAACTTTTTTTATTGCAGTAACATTGGTTTATAACATTATATAAATTTGAGGTGTACATCATTATACTTCTATTTCTGCATAGACTACATCATGTTCACCACCCAAAGACTACAATCCATCACCACACACATGTGCCTAATCATCCCTTTTGCCTTCCTCCCTCCCCCCTTGCCCTCTGGTAACCAGCCACCCAATCTCTGTCTTGCTGTGTTTGTTTGTTTGTTGATCTACTTATGAGTGAGATCATTTGGTATTTGACTTTCTCCCTCTGAATCATTCTGCTTAGCATAATACCCTCAATGTCCATCCATGTTGTCACAAATGGCTGGATTTCATCGTTTCTTATGGCTGAGTAGTATTCCATTGTGTATATATACCACATCTTTACCCATTTGTCCCTTGATGGGCGCTTAGGCTGCTTCCAGGTCTTAGCTATTGTGACTAATGCTGCAATGAAAACAGGAGTGCATGTATCTTTATGCATGAGTGTTTTCATGTTCTTTGGATAAACACCCAGCAGTGGAATAGCTGGATCGTATGGTAGTTCTATTCTTAACTTTTTGAGGAATCTCCATACTGTTTTCCATAGTGGCTGCACAGTTTGCCCTCCCATGAGCAGTGTATAAGGGTTCCCTTCTCTCCACATCCTCTCCAACACCTGTTGTTTCCTGTCTTGTTATTTATAGCCATTCTGACGGGCGTGAGGTGCTATCTCATTGTAGTTTTGATTTGCATTTCCGTGATAGTTAATGATTTTGAACAACTTTTCATGTGCCTGTTGGTCATCTGTGTATCTTCTTTAAATAAACCCACACATCTATGGATAGCTAATTTTCGACAAGGGAGCCAAGAACATACAGTGGAGAAAGGAAAGTCTCTTCAATAAATGGAAAACTGCAAAAAAATGAAAGCAGACCATTATCTTACAGCACACACAAAAATTAACTCAAAATGGATTAAAGACTTGAATGTAAGACCTGAAACTGTGAAACTTCTAGAAGAAAACATAGGCAGTATGCTCTTTGACATCCGTGTTGGCAACATATTTTCAAGTACCGTGTCTGACCAGGCAAGAGAAACACTAGAAAAAATAAACAAATGGGACTACATCAAGCTAAAAAGCTTCTGCACAGCAGAGGAAACCATCAACAAAATGAAAAGACAACAAAGGAAATTGGGAGAAGATATTTGCAAACCATAATCTGACAAGGGGTTAATATCCAAAATATATAAAGAACTCATACATCTCAACAACAATAAAACTAACAACCCAATTAAAAAATGGGCAAAAGACCTGAAAAGACATTTCTCCAAAGGTCATATTGTAACTTTGAATGACCTCTGATTAACTGACATGCTCTGTAGATTTTATGGCCCCTCCCAGCTGCTATAAGTTGATAACTTTGTTCTTTTGAGCTCCTTAGGAATTCGATGACCCCTGGGCAGAGAGTCTATGCTGATAGCTGTCATCAATGATAACTGAAAGATCAGAGTATAGGGCGTTGCTCCATCTCTGATGCATGTCCAGTAAAACAAAAGACTATCAGGAACTAAGACCAGATGGCTGCCCCACCCAGAGACCAGATGCCTCCTGCACCTGGAGACCAGGTCAATATATAGCTGGCCTGTAGTCTTTGTTCTGTAAGATGGTTCTTTTGGACATTAGTTGGCCATCTTCCCCCATGCTAGCAAGCTGTAATAAAAAGCCCTTTCTCAGGGGCTTGGGCCCCGTGGCCTAGTGGTTAAGTTCAGCATGCTCCACTTCAGCTGCCTGGATTCAGTTCCTGGGTGTGGACCTATACCACTTGTCAGTGGCCATGCTGTAGCGGTGACCCACATACAAAATAAAGGAAGATTGGCACAGATGTTAGCTCAGGGCAAGTCTTCCTCAGCAAAATAAATAAATAAATAAAAGACATTAGAAAAAAGTCTCCATTTAAAAAAAAAAGTCCTTTCTCTCCTTCCCCCTTGCCTCTTGACTATTGGCATGTCTTGAGGCTGGCAGACGACCACATCCTTGGGTGGTAACAATGTTAAGTCATTGGCTCTGGATCTCACAACTAACAGCAGGGGTCAAGGGGGAATTTTAACTGAAGCAATTTGACTCTAGAATCCAAATTCTTAGCCATTTGCTCTCCTGCTTCCAAGTAAATAGAGCTCATTTCCTTATTCAAGCATGTTTGTTGACTTTGTCACTCCAGGACAGCACTCTTCTAGAAACGGTCAGACCAACACGGTGTAGTCATTGTTATCTTTCTATAAATTGTGTTTGCTAGTAAATCCTTGCAATTTCTAAAAAATGCAAATAAGGTAATAGCTGCCCATTACACATCTTTGCTAAGAATGAAAAGTGACCTTGCAGAATCTAAATTGTCCAGATGTGTAAGTTTA